TTTCATATAATTATTTTAGAAAATTTCAACACCAGAACTCTAGAAGGTGTAGTGGTGGGATTGCTTTATTGTATAGAGAATCGTTAAAAATGGCATCGAAATAGTGCGTAACCATTTTGATACAATCTTATGGATTAAACTTGATAAACTAATTTTTACTTTAGAAAGAGATATATACATATGCGGAATTTATTTATGGTGTGAAGATTATGTCAGTTATTTGATTCGTTTGTCGGATTCATTCTTTGTTATGCCTCAGAAATTTGGGGAAATAGTAAGTCAAAAGAAATTGAAAGAGTTCATCTTAAGTTTTGTAAAAGAATACTTAATGTTAAAATGAATACATGTAATGCAGCAGTTTATGGTGAGCTGGCACTTTTTCTTTTATACATTACAAGATATTTACGGATAGTAAAGTTTTGGCTTAAATTATTACAAACAGACAATATTATTCTTAAAGAAATTTATAATATATCTTATGAAGACTGTATAAATGGTGAGAGAAATTGGCTTTCAAGTGTTAAAGATTTATTGACGTCGTATGGTTTTATGTATGTATGGCATAATCAAGGGGTTTTATGAAGTAAATTGTTTTTATTAGAATTCAAGCAGCGTTTTATTGATTCCTTTGTACAAAGCTGGCATGCTGATAGTGTGAATAGTCCTGTTTTATTGTTATACAAGGATATAAAAATGTGTTCCAGTATCAAAAATATCTGGATTTATCACCTAGCAGCCTTAGGCATTATATTAGTAGAATAAGCTTATCAGCACATCTGTTACTTATACAGTCAGGTCGTTATGGTTCAAATAGGATACCAAGAAATGAACGTTCAGAGTTACTAGTATGTCATTTACACATGGGATTTCGTCGGCTACAATCGAGCAAGTGTCCTCAACCGAATAACAGCCCAAGAAATAGTCCATGAATTTGATCCTATGAAACTCCCATACTTTGTCGGGATATCTTAAAAACTTCCATATTTAGCCTATTCATTTTCAAATTAAGTTATCCAAGTTAAAATATGAACGTATTTGATTGATAAAAACGCTGTAGCCCCGTAGTATTATTGCGCAATATGCAAATAACTGCTGAAACGATTTATCGCTGTCAAAAAAGTAGGACAGCAAATTTTGCTATAATTAAGGAGTAAGCTCAATAATTCCTAGAAAGTAGGAAATAAATATTTCTGCATTAAACAAAACATTTTTATTAACAGATCAAAAGTTTTTCGTGACTCAGCAATTCTACAAGTCAAGTCAAGTCAATTTGTTTATTTAAGTCTTACTTTTGTACATACATTAACAAATATAACAAAGTTATAAAAGAAATACGTGTACAAAACCACTCTTAAAGAGTTATGAGAGACTAAGATCATCAATAAAAACACATTTAAAAACAATATTAAGATACTAAAATATTGTAATGTTAAAAGCTGAAATATATGGTGGCAATAGAAATTATATTACACATATAAAACAAACGCATACTAACTATTATTCTGACTTTGACTATGATACATATGTACAGAGTAAAAATTAGCCATTATATAATAAATTGCGCCTCACACATAATATATCAAAGCAGGCTTTGGCAGAATATTTTACAATATTTTCATTTGATAGCAAATATATGAATTTCTCACTATCACTATACATTAGAAATCTGTCATTAGTTTTACATATGTCGATATAAAGCGCCTCTCTTATTTGCGAATAAAGTGGACATTTAACAAGGACATGTAGCTCATCTTCAATGATATTACAATGATATATGTTATATTCATAACGACCATTCTCGATTTTTAGAGGAGCAACTCCACATCTAAATTTAGATAATGCGGCCCTATAATGTCTTTTTATTATTTCAGACTGTACATAGTGTTCAGTTTTATATTCTTTCTTAAATAGTTTATATTGTCTTAGTTTGTTGCCTTTTGTTCGTCCACTAACACCATTAGTTAAATTTATTCTCGTTGACTAATCATTTTTGAAATCCAGAAACAGTTTGTCTTGCAATGAGTTCATAAAATTTGATCTCTCAGACTGGCTATAGTATTTGTTTAATATTAACGATTTATCAAGATACTTTTGTGTAATTGTATCTATATCATAGAACCAATTTTTCATTTTGTTTCGTATACTATATGACCATTTAAATACATGTTTATTAAGTCTTCAGGATGGCATATTATTTAACCTAAACCAATGTCCGAGTGTAGATCGCCATTGTCTTATCCGAGGGGGGAGCCATCCCATGTCGCCTGTAACTGCGTCGTTCGGAGTATATTTGCCTACACCAAGGAAGAATCTGCAGGCACGATGGTGAACTGCGTTTATCGCCGAGTATTCTCGAGTTCCCCATATTGCTGCTATGTAACTGATCACTGGCCACACAATACTGTCGTATAATTTAGTATAAACTGCATACAGCATTCCACCCATGAGTTTGAATTTACTGATAATTAGACCGAGAGCACGAGTAGCTGATTGAGCAACGTATTTTGCTATTTTGGCGTAATCTAAACAATCCGAGATATTTACATTGCGCTACACAGTCTATTTCGTTGCCATTTAAGGTAAAATTATACTCTGTTTTCTGGATGGATGGATTACGGAAATGCATGACTTTAGTTTTGTCAATGTTTACACACATTCTGTTCTCAATACACCAATTTGCAAGCTCATTCATAAGCGATTAAAGTTCTATTTCATTTTCAGCAACAAGCACCAAATCATCGGCGTATAATAGGTGACATATAATTTTCCATCGACTTTTATTCCTATATTCATATGATCAAGCTTTACACTCAAGTCATTTATGTACATGTTGAAGGCCGTCGTAGACAGGGGACATCCCTGCTTTTAACCAATATGAACGTTGAACCAGTCGGTGGTATAGTTATTGACACGTACAGCGCATTTCACGTTTTTATACGCCCGTTTGAAAAACGGGACGTATTATGGGAACGCCCCTGGCGGGCGGTCGGGGCGGGCGGGCGGGGGGGGGGGGCGGCGTCCAATTTTGTCCGGAGCATATCTCCTACATGTATGGAGGGATTTTAATGAAACTTCATATAAATGTTCACCACTATGAGGAGCAGTGTCGCGCACATGAACCAGGTCTCTAGGTCAAAGGTCAAGGTCACACTTAGAGCTCATTGAAAAATGCTTGTCCGGAGCAAAACTTCCACATGTATAGAGGGATTTCAATATTACTTGGCACAAATGTTCACCATTGTGAGGCGGAGTGTCGCGTGCAAGATTCAGGTCCTTGCGGCCAAGGTCAAGGTCACACTTAGAGGTCAAAGTTCAGATAAAAAATATGAAGATGTGTATATGGACCATTTAGTCATCATTTATTGAGGGATTGTAACACAAATGGTCATTATCAAGACTATGGCTGTGATACATATAATTTAGGTCAATATATACAAGGTCAAGGTCACTAAAGATGATGAAATATCCAGATTTTGTAAATAGAATTTAATCAAAGGGAGACAACAAAGTTATTACTTTGTTCATAAATGACTTACACAATTACTCCCCTTGATCTATTTTCTAAAAATAGAATTTAATCAAAGGGCATGAAATAATCCTCTTTCTTGGACTTGAGTATGTTGTAAAGAATGTAACATTTATTTACACATGTTTCATTCATTGGTCAAGATACTTAACTGTGATAACTATGGTGTTCTATAGCCCCCACCCCAAAGATACAATCAGGGGGTTGCCAGAAGGGGGATGTGCCCTCTATTGTTTCGGGGGGGGTTGAAGGGGGCGGCAGTCCCCCTCATCGCCAGGAAAATTTTGGACTTGTAAGAGGCTAAAAATGACCCCAGATCGATCATGAGGTAACGTGTAACCAACGCTGAAATGCATTTGACTCTATCTCAATCCATTGAGAAGTTGAAGCCCATTGAACTCAATTTTGATGGAAAAAATCGAGGCAAAATAGTGATTTTTGGCAATTTTGAGATGTCCCCATGTTGCCATGGTAACAGGAAATTTAAGCCTGAGCATGTTGTTACAAAAGAAATGGTCCAGTCAACATTTGTGCCAAGTTTGATTTGTATTGAAGCAGTTTTTATAGTTTTATAGCAATTTGAAGTTTGAAATGTATTGAAGCAGTTTTTATAGTTTTATAGCAATTTGAACTTGTAACATGAAAATAGCCATTTTTCACAAAATGCTCATGCATGAAGTAATGGGTTTAAGTTTTAGATGTGTATTTGACACTTTCTCAAAAGGCGTTTAAAACTTTAAGTTATTTGAACTTGACTATATTCTCGACATAGATACAAAAAAATACAAAAGTTTACAATCTTGTTTGAAAAGTATTGACAATTAAAGTTCAACTTTGTTACGTGTTTCTACAACAACAACAACAACAACAATTATGTTTTCGTTATCTGTAGAAAAGTTTCACTCATTTCATATTCTCCTACATCGTTGGATACCCACGATTGATTAACGTGTAATCAAGATCAATGTTAATGGTTCGGCCATGGGTATCCCTTATTTGAAAAGTGATAATAAAGAACGTATTTGAATAACTACAAATAAATCAATGTAAAATCAATGTTCTGTTCTCTATGAAAAGATTTTTTTTGTTTATTGAGATAAGTACTGGTCGTATTACATCAAATAAGAAGAGGGTGGGTATGGGTTAGAAATCCCGTCAGATATTGTCAAATGTAATCCTGGCATCAAAATATTTGATTATCTAGAAACTATTCTGAACAAAATATAAAAAAGTTTAACATGCTGATTTTAAATTATAATCATTTTAATTAGTTATGCTATCCAATTTCACACTTTTCACAGTAAAAATATACATCAAATTTGTTTAATTACAATTTTTAGATATAAAATATGAAAGATAATCATAATTTGACAAAACAAAAAGAAGAAGAAGAGAAAAAAATGTTGCATCTTCTGCGGTTTGAACCCACGCCGTCTCCTCACTGAAAATGAATACTCTTCAGAAAGGAGATACTGCATTAGGCATCTAATACCTTAAGACATATATCTCTCATTAAAAGTTCCAGTTTGATAATTTTGAATCATGCCCTCTTTATTCAAACTACTTTAGTGTTTTCTTTTTATTTTTTCATCCTTGTCTTTATGTTAACGGCATTGTAGTTTAAAGGCGAACCAGTACAATTTTGTATTTTTTAAACCCGGCCATATATACATGACCTGAAAAATTCAACACTGAAGTCACAAATCAAAAATATGTTCTGTATGTTATTGTTCGATTTTATTGTGTTATCGGTAACTGTTCATGCTAGTCTGGAACCTTGCTTACATTAACTATACTAGTGGTTATGGTACGGTTGTTTAATAGTTCAAACAATCGCCTCAGCATAAACATCATACACGTTAAGAAAATTACACTTTTTACCACTTCCAACATAGAGTTTGTTCTGTTCTCTATCTAAAGTCAAAGACCAAGGGCAGTACAGTCCGTCCTTTTCTTCAAGTATCACTCTTGTTGTTTCAAGATTTTCTGATATCAAAAGAATTTTGTTATTTCCACTGCTACACACCAATATCGAGCCGTCATCAAGAACAACCATGCCACAAGGTTCAACGAGGCGTTCATCTTTGTACCCCTTCAATATTTCTCCATTCAGATTCATACTTGTGATTGTTGATTTGATACTGTCTGAGATATAGATGTTCTTCTTGGCACCATGCGTAACATATGGAGATTTTAATTCGTTACCATAGAAATCTTTTTCTACGGACTTATATACGTGACCATCTAAGTCCATGATCTGAACTTTACCAGGCCACTCGAATGCAACAATTAATTTATTGTCATGATAAACTAAATCCTTACAATTTCCGTCTACTTCCAGACGCCGGACTTCAGTCAGTTCTGTAGGTATGGATAGGAACGCTATTGTTTTCATATCAGACAGAGTGACTGCAAGTATATCATTTGGAAGTAATGCCAAATTATCTGGACAATCAGGTAATGCTTTCTCAGAAATTGTTTTCTTTAGCTGTGTATCAACTATTTTGACAGAACTATTACTGAAATCACACAAGGAAACAATATCCTTAGCAATAACCGTTGCTCCCGGAATACTGCAATCGTATTTATCCGACGGAATTTGGACGTCTATATCTTCTGAATACTTTATTGTAAGAATTTCAAAACAACCTCCATCTGTTCGTAAACCTTTGCAACGGCCTACCATGTCACCTCTTTCCAGTTCATCTGTTTCAGCATTAGGAGATGGTTCTCTGTGTGTCTTATAACAGTTATCACGTTCCATACAGTTCTGGCAGTAGCCTTGTGGAGTTAATCGTATACCATCTTTGTTACATGATTCACAATACAATTGTGCATTTGCCTCAGCTGCTGAATTTAACTTGTCTTCACTTTCGTCTTTCTTTTTTCCAGACGAATCCATGTTAAAGTAATGTAACCCTGAAATAATATGTGAATTTATCGAGGTATTGTTACATGGATTTTTACAACTTATTGAGAGATTTGTATTTCATATTGCTTAACGTTTATAACGTCGATTTTCATTGGAAAATCGCGACGTTTACATAAATTTATACACCCGGCTAATGTCAATCTATATAGACATTTTCACTTTTTCTCAGATATATGAACGCTAAATGCAATATAAATTTCATGAAGCGGTTATATTTTATACAATAAAGAATATGGTCCTCTATCGATTTTACAAATTAAACGCGGGACTGTATAACTATCATATTTGAAAATTGATCGTAAATATGAAGGTTAATAAGAAGAAGTATCATAGGTCCAGCTGAACCTTAATAACCTTATATTAATAACATGAGAAAAATCTACAAATATATACGTCAACATATTTCTATCATGTTACTTTAACGCTGAAACGGCTATTTTTGCCTATTTTGACCTCTTTTTGGTAATTTAAATGGATTGTAAGTGCCGTTTGCGATGTGTTCAGTTCACTTTTTTTCCAAAATACATTTTCAAATTTTCATAAAAAATAGCATGAAGCTGGAGGCGTGCTTCCTTAAAGAAAAGTCCTTGAATATTTTCAATTCATTACTCTACTTCCGCTAGAATTATGTTTCAAACTAAGTAGGCATTCATTAAAATGTTTTGTTTTTTTTTAAATCTGCTGAAAATATGACATTACACTGTTTAATTCTTCTTGATCTGTTAAAAATTAGTCGTAAATCTTACCTCATTGAAAACATACATGTACTATGCATATATTTACGTCCTTCACAACTTTAACAACCTGACTGTGTTAATATTGACTTTAATAAACTAATCTAATATTAAAATCGATCGTTTTCTTACATGATGCATTATTGAAAACCTCATCGGTTGTAAACACTCAAACCATAGCGCCCATAACACGGTGATATTAAGGGAAAAGTGACTGATTATTGAGTTTAATTATGCAAGCTTGCAATAAAATTATAGTGATGTTTTTTTCTGTTCTTTTTTCTGGTTTTAACGCTAATATTTTGGACACATCTCGGCAATACAAATAAGATATGTATACATATTGACAAGTTAAGAAGCATATTTAAAGATGGTTTAACCGAAGCAGGTGTACATGTATATCAGATTTGATAAAACAGGCAGAGTGTGGACTTTTGAAACTTGTCGTATTTGCATTTGACCTTGAATGACAGTATCTGTGTATACATATGTTTAAAATATAATTTCCATTACAAAATGTTTATTTTCTTAGCTACAAGAATTTGTTTTTCTTAGCTACAAGAATTTATTAAGTCATTGTTAAGTAAGTATTGCTTACATTTTCCATATGTATCGGAAACTTAGAAATAACACATGCAAGTAAACCATTTTACTACGCCCTAGTATTGACATTTCTTGTTCGCGCCATGCCAACATAATGCACTAAATTGACAGACATTTTATCGTATACTAGTATCTTACCTCAAGATACAACTTTTTGCACGTGCACATCGAGCGATACGTTTTTTCATGCTAACCGATTTACAGAACATTTCCCATTGACTCGTTAACAAGATGCCATTTCTTCGAGAAAACGATATAGTTCAAGCTCTTGTGCTTCTTACGTCGGGAAGAAGCGTCACTGACGTTGTGAGACGTTTAACTGCCATCGCAATCTGCGACAGCATTTTCAGCAGCAATCTGGAAGCGTAAGAGATACGATCGTTCACGAAGGCCAAAGATGACGACTGCACGTCAAGACCGGCCTTTAACTCGTCTCCGTAACTGGCATAATTTTTGCGAGATAATTTGGCATATCTAGATAAACCGTGAGCAAGAATGCAACCCAATCAGGGCAAGCGGCTATACATAGGCCAGGTTATTAATCCTCGTAACTGATATCTTCGGAGACACTGGGCTTTACGTCATTTACGTTGGACTTTTGCAAGAGTATTGTTAAGTGACGAATCACGTTCTAATCTTAGCATTGCAGATGGTAGAGTACACGTTTTTTTTTTTTGTCGAGGTGAGCGTTTTGCAAATAATTGCTCATTGGAGCGGAATCGAGTTAGTGGAGGCAGGCGGGATAATGGGTGAAAAGAAAAACAAATTTAGTCGTCATTTCAAATGATCTGAATGTCCGAAGTTATATTGACACTGTCCTCCATCCAGTGGTTGTACCTTTTCTGCATCATGGTTTACCGACAGCAACACACTGCTAGGCTCATGTATAAAAACCTAGATAGACACAAAGTTATCGTGCTACCGTGGCCGGCTTGCTCACCGTACATAAATCCCATTGAGCACATATAGAATCCTCTTGGAGGGCAAGAAAACTCATGTTATTATAATTACATTCCTGGCCTTACACTTGCATTTGTCCAAGAATGGAATGCTATTCGAAAATACGCCATTTGACATTACGTTAGACCAATGTGGTTGACAATCATTGTTTTGATTCATAGGAGAGGTGATGTAATCGTTATTGAAGAAATTGAAACACATTTACAGACAAAATGACAATGTAAAACATGCGAAGTTCAATTTTGATCCATAACATCGGAAAATACAGCGTCGTTTATCTAAGACCCACAGAAAACATTGTATCATGTTGGCGGATGAATATCCCAGATTATTTAAATAAATGTTGTTTTTTTAAATAGCCTAAAAAAGTAAAACCCAACTACACAGTTTTTTCTTTTCATCAGTATATTATGACATAGGCGTCAAAATTGACCCTGACTTTCGGTTGAATAGTGTTCTAGATTGCCTTGAAAAATTGTATTTTAGTTATTTTCAATTAACTATGCTCTGAATCTAAATTACTGGTGAATATAAGGCATTGAGTGTCAAGACAGCTTTTTGGAT